GCAAATTGCTTCCAAAAATACCATGCCAGGTGTCTATGGGTCCGGCTCAAAGGGGTCCCATCTAACATCCTGTCCTCCCAGAGGCCAGCATTTTCCCTGTCCACCCTTTCCATGCCTGGCATCTCCTCTCCCTCGCCTGTTCCCCTAACGCTGCACCCTGTTCCTCTCAAGGCGTCTCTCCATCTTCCCCTCGGTCTTTTGGGGTGCCCTTTCCTGACCTGCCATAGCCAGGGAGGGCCTGGCAAAGCCAGTCCTGCACAGGATTCGCCTGCATCTCCGGGGACCTGCTTCCCTGCAGAGGCTGTGCAGGTTAAGGGCGGAGCTGGTTGCCCGCAGCACTTGCACCCAGGCCAGCCTCACCCACAACCTCCCATCTGCCCGGATTTCGGAGCCCAAAGCAGAGAGCAGAGGAAGTTGCCTCCCTGCCCAGCCTGGGCCCCTGCCAACTGCTGACTCAGTCCTCCGGCTGCTGCCTGGTTTCGGCCCAGCAGGATCTGCAGGCCGGCAGAGAGGCTTGCCATCCTCCTCCTCCTCTTCATCCCGGGGGATGGGGCAGATTCTGCATCCCAGGTGGGACCCAAGAGTTTGCCCAGGTCTTGATCAGCCGAACTCCGGAGAGCATCCACTGTGCCCTGCAGAATTTCTCAATTATTCATTTAACCCAAATATCTTAGAAATCCCCAAGTCACATTACAACTTTTTAGTCCCCTCATGTCAGGAGTGTGAGAGCTGGAACATTTGGTGCTCCCTCTTGCTGCCAGAAAGCTCTCCCTAATTTGCAGAGGCTTGTGGGCAAAGCAAGAATGCAAATGGAGAATTCACTCCTGCTGCCTCCAATACGATGCAGCGCAAAGCGTTGAGCAAGGGCATAAAGAGTCTAGTCCTCACTGTTCAGAATGAATAAGAACATAGGCAGCCAGGCCACCCACCCACTCGGGATAAGACATCCTTTCCCTGCACTGCTGTGGACTGTGATTTAATCTGAAGCTGGGGGATAGAGAGGTCTGAGGTCCCCGCAGTGCTGGAAATAGCGTGATCCCCCGTCTGAAATCCCAAAGAGCTGCTGCCAGCCAGTGCAGGCAATGCTGATGCAGATGAGCGGTTGGTCTGATGTGAGACAAGTTCTGCATTCCATGGTCTGCGTCGCTTGAATGCAGTCACTTGGCTGTTACTCATGCAAAGGTTCTTGAAGACTGGGCGCATTACTCAACCACCTGAAGCGACTGCAGTTCATCCAGGAACTCTGAGTGACAGCCTTCGATCCAAGGAATGCTCTGATGCTCTGCACATGTGGAAGAAGAGCAGAGAGGGAGCACAAGGGGCCTGCACAGAATAAAGAGGAGAAACGGGCAGAATATGCAAGCGGAAAGAGGGAAGAAGGAGATGCTAGGGCTGCCTGGTCATAGAATTGTATGGTTGGGAGGGGTACCCAAGGGTCCTCTAGTCCAGCCCCCTGCAGGGCAGGAATCTCAGCATTGTGCTTGTTGCATGAAAGACTCGGCACAGTTCCCTGCGCTGCCCACAGGCCCAGCGTTGTGTCCATTGCACTCCCCCCCACACAAACCCCACACTCCTGCGCTGTGAGAAGCCTGCCTGCCTGCCTGCTTTTGGGTCTTCTCGGCTGGAAGCCAGCGGCCGCCAAAGCTCAGACAAGCCAAGGATTTTATGAGGCAGCCTGTTCCTAGACAGCTGTCTGGATCCCACCCTCTCACTCTCCACGTGCCAAGTCTGGAGTGGGGCTGGAGGAGCCCCAAAAGGGGGCCTGGCTGCGTGGGGGGGCTCTCTTTGCAGCCTCCCCAGAGGAAGTGGCTTGTCTGCAGTGGAGACACCCTGGCAGGCGGCGACCGTGAGGGTTTTGCTTGGTGCTCAGAGTCTCTGGCCTGGGAGATGTCTGGGGTTCGGCTGCAGCCAGACTGGGTGGGCGGCGGAGAAGAAAAGAGAGGACTCATCCGGCCAGGCAGCCAGCTGCGTCACTTGCCAGAGCCCAGAGGCTCAGCTGGTGGAAGCAGGGAAGCCTCCTCACCCCCAGGGCAGGTCAAGAGCAGGAGAACTTCGGAAAAGCCTGGACCCATCTGGTCCATCCTCCTGGGCTCACAGGGGCCAAATACCCCATAGAACCCAGGACTCCAGATAGACTGCCTCTGGGCCTGGGGGACATCTCTCCCAGCCTCCCCTTCTCACCATGGCCAATCAGATGCGCATCATGGGAAACACATGAGCAGGATCCGAGCACAAGAGCAGCTCTTCCCTCCTGTGGTTTCCAGCAACCAGGATTCAGACTGTGGAGGTGACAGCACAGCCATTGTGAACCTCCCTGAGATTGTTTGATGGAGGGCAGTATATCAACAACAACAACAATGGCTAATAGCCCTCTCCTCCTCCACCCAGGCTGGCAGTCTTCCCTGGCTCCTGTGGGAGGGAGTTCCAGGGTTTAGCTCTGTGCAAAATGAAGAAGGACTTCCTTTGGTCATTTGATTGAAGTTGAGAGAAAGTCACCCAGCTGGGATGACTGTTGTCTGAGTTTATCATGCCAGGGAATCCGTTCCTCTGACCACAGCTAGACCTGGACATCCCCATCCGGCTAGACGCCCTGACTCAGGCAGCAGGGGCGTGGTGCGGCAGTGGGTTCGGGAGACCCCTGTGTGGGCTCTGCGGCCTCTCTGTCCCACGGCTGAGCTGGGAGGCTGTGCGGTCAGTGGGCAAGAGGCCCAGCCATTCCTCCCCGCCAAGCGTCTCACGAGAAACCAGCGGAGAGGAAAACACACATCTGGTTCTGCTTAGGCACAAGAAATGCTCTGTTGCAGCGGCTGATCCTCTGGCAGTGGAGGAGAGCAGAGCAGCTGTTTGGCATGCAGAAGGTTCGATCCCTTGGGGCGCCTCCTGGCAGGGCTTGGAAGAATCCCCCACCTGCAACCCTGAAGGAATGCAATGTGAGAGATTGCTGAGCTGGATGCTTTGGCTGAGATTCCTGCACTGAAAGAGGTTGGACTAGATGTCCCTTGGGGGTCCCTTCCAATGCTGCAATTCTATGGTTCTACAAGGGGCAATGAGCAGCTGGCTGCATTTAAATCCACCCTTTATCAGAAGCATGAGGACTTGACTTGACTTGACTTGATCTGTATTGCAGATTCCTGCCTTGCAGGGGGCTAGGCCTCTTGGAGATCAGGTTGCTAAGACTTGTTGCTGTTGCTGTTGCTGTTGCTGTTGCTGTTGCTGTTGCTGTTGTTGTTGTTGTTCACTCAGTGCACAGGATTCTTAGGAGAGGAAGAAAGAATGCGCTTTGGACATGCTCCAAAGGAATGGCGTGTCCTCAGCCTGTGCCTTGTCCTGGCATCTGTCCAGAGCATGTGCGATCATACCCTGACTCAACCCTGCCAGGATGGCCAGGATCTGCACTGGATCTAGTTTCCCACGATCCCTTCCTCCTCCTTGCTGCTGCTGGGCTGAGAGCTTCTGTGACAAGTCAGCAGCAGGATTCATGCCAGCTGGCCTTCCTCACCCCGCTTGCGTGTGTGCGCTCGGGGCTTTACGTAATTTGTGGAGGGAGCCTGAGGCTCCCAGATCTCCTGGGCACGGGATCCCTAAGGAAGGCGAGGAAGAATCCTTTGCGGTGAATCACCTGACTGGGCTCTGCAACATGGTGGGAACTGCAGGGGCAGATTGTCTTTTCTTTGGGGCAGAGACAGTCACATAGTCCAGTGGGGAGAGCACCTGCTTGGCATGCAGAATGTATTTGCTTCAGTCCCTGGCAAGGCTTGGAATTGCCCCAAGGCAGAAATATCAAAGAGCTGCTGCCCGCCAGTGTAGAGATGTTCTGAGCTTCTTGCGTTTCTGTTTAAATCAAAAATGGTTTGGGAACATGAGGTCTGGAGCATTGCAGAGCAGCTGCTTGGCATGCAGAAGGCCTCAGGTTCAATCCCTGGTAGGATTGCAGGCAGGACTGAGATTTGTCCCCATTCGGAAACCCTAGATAGCCGATGCTGCCAGCCAGTGCAGACAGCACTGCTCTACATGGACCGTTGGAACGAGGCAGCTTCGATTCTGCATTCTGTGCAGCATCGGAGATTCAAAAGCAAATGTTGCAGGGCAGTGATTTGGAGACCACCTTGTCCCAAACCCTGAGAGGGGCAGGGAATGCCAGGATTTGGCTAATAATCATAATAATAATTTGTTGTGTTTGTTGTTGTTGTTGTTGTTGTTGTTGTTCTACGGGGCTGCCCCACTTACATACCCAGATCGGGGGCTGATCCAAAACAGCAGGAAGCCCATGAGCAAGACCGCCTTTCCTCTGCCCCCTGCAAGCTGGCATTCTGCAGCAGGCAGCTCTTGAACATGGAGGCTCTACTAATGGCTTCAAGGTGTTTCCATCGGGACCCCTGGGGAGGTGCTGCGCAGAGGGGAGAAACGGGCGCCTTGCCAACTTCCCTCGGGGTCTCTTTCCACCCGTCACCCGGTTCCTCACAGGCGTGGGAGAAGCACCTGCCTCCCCAATTAAACCCATGAGTGCCTTCCAGGAATCCCCGGCTGCTATTTATGAAATTGGCCACTGAGCCTGGGAACCTAGAGAGCTGACTCTGCCTCAAGCTGTGACTCACAAACACACATGAGGAGATAGAATCACAGAATGGTAGAATTGTTGGGAGGGTCCTCTGAGGGTCATCTAGTCCAACCCCCTGCAATGCAGGAATCTCAGGGGGTTGGGCTAGATGACCCTCGGGATCCCTTCCAGCTCTACTATTCAATAACGGCATCTGGTTGGCCACTGTGAGGGCAGGAGTTTGGGCTGGATGTGCTCCATTTGGCCTGATCAGGAGGCACTTCCTACCTCAGTGATCTCTGGGTTGTGGGTTCGATTCCAACATTGGGCAAAATATCCCTGCATTACAGGGGGTTGGGCTGGATGGCCTTTGGGGGTCCCTCCCAACTCCACTGTTCTGTGAGGCCATGCCTTGGCAGCAAGGAGAGTTCAGCTCAGGGCTATACTTCCCCCCCCCTCCCCTCCTTCTCTAGCTCCCTTGGTGAGAGCCTGGTGCTGATAACGCCAAGGTTGCAGGTTCAATCCCTGCATGGGGCAGCTACCTGTTCCTGCATTGCAGGAGGTTGGACTTCTGTGACTTCGTTGATTTCCCTAGGAGGAAGCCAAGGCAGTTTAGAGGAGCCTGCCCATCTTCCCACACTGGGAGAAGCTGCCAATGTTTATGCCACAGCCAGTCAGTAAGAATTGGGGGGGGGGGTCAGCCTGGGGGGTCTCAGGTGGGGGGATTGTTTTCCCCTGGGAAAGGAAGCCGGTGGCTGCTGCGTCCTGGAGGGAGCCCTGACCCCCGAGCAAAGGGGTTCTGTAAGGAGAGCAGGAAACCGGTTTGGGAAATTGTATTAAATTGAATTCATTCAGCTTGATTTGCAATAATTTGGCAAGCTAAGAAGAATAATTGGCAAAAAGGGGGGGGGGGTTGCAGATGAGCAGCGGCCAGCTTAGGCCTCCTCTGGACCCGGAGGGGGGAGGGGACAGCGTTGACGTGACCGCCCCACATGACAGAGAGGCTGCCGGCTGGGCCCTGACGTGGGATCTGCTCTCCTCGGAGACTGACGTCGGCCTGTGCTGTTTGCACGGGAAGGTCCCCTGGCCCCCGTCCCTTGGGGGTTTGTGCCAGCTTTCCCCCACCCCTTGCAGGACAGCTCCCTGGGGAAGCCAGTTTCACACTGGCAGCCCCCCCGCGAGGAAGAGCGGAACTCGTGCATGGCCATTTACGCCCAGGGTTGCCCACACTGACTGGGAGCTTCTGCACACTGTCTTTCTTAAAATAAACCAAGATGCTAGTCCTCACTATTTTGAGCAAAGGATGGAGAGCATTAGTAATGGGTCACCTGGAATTTCAGATCCTCCCAAACTGGTGCCAAAGTTTAGTGCTAATTTTGTGCCGTGAACCCCATGTTTCATGCCCCCCTTTGCAGTCAATTGGACAAGGTTGGGTTTTGGGGTGTCCCTGTGGCCCCTGGTGTGAGTGTCAATGACTCAGTTTTGTGGGCGATGCAGAAAGCGGGGTTCGCAACACAAAATGGCACAAAACCAGCACAGCGCTTGGCACCAGTCTGGAGCCAATGAAATCTGGTTGTCACCCCGGTTTGAACGTCAATTGCTCCGTTTGGGGGAGGCTCAAAACGGTACAAAGCTTGCCCAAAATGTTGGCATCAGTTTGGGGCGATCCAAATTTTTGGGGTCACACATTAATGGAGCTAGGATGGCTTTAGAGCGAGTGCATCTTGCTCAGCATTGCGTGCACTGACTGGCAGCAGCAGGTGTAGGTGGTCCCGGTCATACCTGGAGATTGAACTGGGACCTTTCTACATGCCAAATAGGTGTTCCACCCACTGGGCTTTGCAGCCCTTCCCACAATCTAGCATCAGGTTGGATTTGCAAATGTGCCAGGCCTTTCCATAGAATAGTAGAGTTGGAAGGGACCCCGACGGTCATCTAGTCCAGCCCCCTGCAATGCAGGAATCTTTTGCCCAAGGTGAGGCTCGAACCCACAATTCTGAGACTCAGAGTCTGGTGCTCTTTTGCATCTTGGAATATTAAGTACAATTTGTGTCATGTAATTATGATTCTGTTGGTTTTATTTCCAATTGCTTTCCCAACCATCCTCAGCCTGGGATTTGCCTTGCGGCAGGCGGAAAACCAACAGGTGCAGCTTCTGCCACTGTGTCTGTGTGCAGGAGAAGCCTCTTGCATTTCTGCCTGCTGAGCAGCACAGGAGCCCCTGCCAGAGGGGAGCGTTTGGTGCCTTGTTTACCTCTCCGCAACACACCTGCACAGGTGCGTGTCAGAACCCGTCACCCCTGACTCAGGTGCTTCCGCACATGCGGCCTGGGTGCGTCTCCCCCCCCCCCGGATGGCTGCACAGATCCTCTCCCAGGAAGCCAGAGCCTCAGAACTCATTGCCACTTGATGCCCCCCTCCTTCCTGGGTGCCAGAGGGAGCCGCCCCACCCTTCCTGCCCTCCCTCTCTCCCTCCAGGCATCTCACATTCGCCACCCGCCCCACCAAGTAAACAGGCACCCTGGCCAGTCAGGATGGCTCCTCTGTCTGGGATGGGTGCCAGCGCAGCAGAGCCAAAGAGCACCCCAAGGCGCCTGAATCCTGAAATGAGGAGAGGGCAACCAGATTTAACTGCAGAGCACTGCAGTTCCATAAAGACAGGAGGAGTAGCACCTTGTTTCTAGTAGGAGGCTGGTGGCCGCTGACTGCTCTGCCTCCCTCCATGAATTCCTCTCGTCCTCTTTTAAAACCACTCAAGTTGGTGGCCCTCATGACACCTTGCGGGATCTCAGGGTTGAAGATAGAAGAGCCTGGCTGCAGGATCAGGCCCAAAGCAGCCCCAAAGGGGCCTCCTGTCTTCCCAGGGGCTAAGTTCCCATAACAACCTGCCCATCTGACTGGGCTGCTCCAGTCACTCTGGGAGGCTCCCAATAGAATATTAAAAACACAATAAAACATCAAACCTTTTTAAAAAAACACACACCATGGAATCATAGAGTTGGAAGGGAACCCCAAGGATCATCTAGCCCAGCCCGCTGCAAGGCAGGAATCTCAGGCGGCCATCCAACCTTATTCATTTTATTTAGGACTCTGAATGTCTGGTGCTGGGGAGAAGCAGCATCGGGAGAGGCAGTGCGCCCAGGATCGGGCCCGGGGGCAGTGGGCCATGCCAGGGCAGAGGCTGCTTGGCTGCCGACCAGGCCTGGCTCCGCGGGAATCTGCTCCCGGCTCTCTCCGGAAGGAGGAGGCCCCTTTCCTGGAGACATTGCTCAGCGTTTTCTCGTGTCTGGGAAGCGTTGACTCAGCACCAGCATTGAGGAAGAAAATTGGGGAAGAGAGAGAGTTGGTTCCCGGAGCAAGGGGAAGGAGTTCCAGGTGCCGCCCCCTCCAGCCAAGGAAAGCAAAGCCTCCCCTCCCAAGGAAAGAGCCCAGCTCAGGAGGCCTGTGTGCCTGGACCCATCTGGCAGCAGCTCCGGCTGAGTTCCGGGGGGGGGGGGGTCTTTTTGAGGGTGCACAAGGACCCTTTGCAACCAGCTTCATTTATTTCTCTTTCTTTCGTTTACTTATACTGCCCTTCATCCGAGAATCTCAGGGCCGTTCACTGAATGCATATAGGCAGCCATGCTTTTCAGGCAATATGTGCCAGGGTTGCCAGGTCATGGAATTGTAGGGTTGGGGGTACCCAGGGGTCATCCAGCTGAACCCCCTGTGATACAGGAATCGTAGAGTTGGAAGGGACCCGAAGGATGGTCATCTGTTTGAAAGCCTCCGTTGAAGGAGAGTCCAGCATTGCCTCATGTCATAGAATTGTAGGGTTGGGCGGGACCTCCAGGGGTCATTCAGCCCAACCCCATGAAATGCGAGGATTGCAGTGGAAGACTTCTTGACGGGTGGCCTCCCAGGTTCTGCTTAAAAGCTTCCAAGGGGCAGAACTCACCACTTCCAGCAGCATCCCAAACCCTAAGATTTCAGGGCCTGAACCTGAGACCTGGGGGAGGGGGTCCTCTGCACACAAGACTTGAGGGTCCCAAGCGCTTGCATGGAGTTTGGGTGGTCTGGTGCAAATCCACCACCAATGCACTTACTGTTGCAACAACTGCATGTTGCAGAAAATACACCCCAGGGTGGGGAGGGCCAGCAGGGGAAACCCCACCAGTCTAGTCCTCCCTTGGGTAGGAGGCTCATTTGCAGGCTGCCTTCTGAGCTGATAAGGTGACTCTGCTGATAAGAAAGAGCTGAATCTTCAAAGCAGGCATGGACTTTGTCTAGTCTTTGGGGTCCCGGTGCTAATCATGTCTCTCTTTCTGTCTGCATTACTGCTTTGAGGTTCTTGCTAACCCTCAGTTCCTGACATCTCAGAAGCCTGCCGGGGGGGGGGGGGGGCTCCTAAGCATGCTTTTAAGTTCCCTTCATAATTGCATAACCCCCTCTTCAGCCCCTGAAAAAGATTCTCCTGGATTAATAATAATAATAATAACCCGCACATCCGGCTGAGTTTCCCCACCACACTGGATGGCTTCCAGCACATACAAAAAGAGTGGCCCATGTTGCCCGCCATCCTGCCTCACAGCGGCCAAAGAGTCCTAAGGATCTAGGAATCGAGATAGACTGCCTCTGAACCTAGAGGTTCCATAGGAACATGGGAGAGCCTGGCTTCACATCAGACCCAAAGTGGGGAGCCCATCCAGTGTAGCATCCTGTTCTCACAGTGGCTGATCAGATGCTTATTATGGGAAACCCACATGCAGGGTTTGAGTACAAGAGCAACTCTCCCCTCCTGCTGTTTCCAGTGTAGCAGAACTGGTAATCCTAAAATCCTAGAATGGTGGAGTCGGAAGGGACCCTGGGGGCCATCTAGTCCAACCCCCTGCAATGCAGGAACAGGCAGCTGCCCCATAGAGGGAACGAACCTGCAAGCTTGGCGTTATCAGCACCAGGCTCTCACCAGCTGAGCTACACAGAAGCATCGCCCCTTCCAGCTGTGGAGGCAGAGAAGATCTATCCTGGCCAGTGGCCATCAATCACCTCACAATGTGCCATCAATTTATCTCACCCCCTTTCTGAGCCTTCCAAGTCAGTGGCCATCAACTGTCTCCTGGGGGAGGGAGTTCCACAGGTTAACCACGTGCCATGTGAAGAATTGCTTTCTTTCACAGAGCTGTAGAATTGTAGACTTGGAAGGGACCGCGGAGGTCCTGTAGTCCAACACCCTGCGGTGCAGGAATCTTCTGGCATTCAGCTTTGTGAGATGCAAACATTTATTGGACAGTAACAGATAAATAAGGTTCCAGACCTCATGCTCCTGCAAAAGAAGAAGAGTGGACCCCATCATGTGCCCAAGCTTTGCATTTTCATTAATGCGCAGCAAGATGCACTGAGTCCTTCTGCCCCGAGGATGTCTGGCCCTTTGCTCAGCCGACGAAGGGAGAAAGCCGAGGCGAAGGGCCAGCCCAGTCCTCCCTGCGGCTGCCAAACTGTGCTTGTTTTTCTGGGGCCCCACCCTGCACCTCACGCGTCTCCCGGCAAGTCACCCTTGCCGACACCCAAGCGGAAATCCGGTACCGTGTGGCAGAGCCGCTCTTGCCCCCCCTGGCCGAGAGAACCAGGCTGCCCAACCGGCTTGGCAGGGGAAGGTGAGCAGGCCTCTTGGCCCCAATCCCAGCATTTCCACACACAGCCCTTTCACCGGAGGAGGGTTTGGCAGTGCCATCGCTCCTCTCCAAAGGGAGAAGGCCTGAGATGTGTTTTTGAGGCGTTTGGGTGCCTCTGCAAGAGAGCCTCGCCTCTCAGGGAATGGCCCTGGTTTTAATAAGTTATTTTCTTCTGTCTTACACTCCCCCCCAATGGCTTGCATTGCAGGAATCATAGAAATATATATGGAAGGGACCCCGAGGGTCATCTACTCCAACCCCCTGCAAGGCAGTATTCTCAATTCAAGCATCCATGAGAGATGGCTGCCCAACCTCTGCTTTAAAATGTTCCTTGTGCAGGAGCAGATCTCCTTGGCAGAGTGCCTGCTTGGCATGCTCCATCCCCGCTGGCAGCATCACCAGGCAGGGCTAAGAGAGGCTCCCGGGTCTGAAACATTGGAGAACTGTTGCTGCCAGTCAGTGTGGAGCAGCCCTGAGCTACATGGACCAAGCATCTAACTCACTGTGGCAACTATTGACGGCACTCTTTTGTGCAGAAGCGTGACTTTGGAGCCTTGGCTCGCTTTTACACGAAGCGCTGTAGCTCGGTGGTCCAGCACCCTGAGTCTGACACCCCAGAGAGCCTTCACGCTGCCAGTCAGAGCCGAGAACACTTAGCTGACTCAGCATGCAGCCATCTGCTATCTTCCTTGTTTATGAACTGCCATCAGATTTGTCATTTTCTCAATGGCTTGCCTGGGACTTGAGATGCCCAGTTCCTCCAGAGGTTGTGGAGTAAACATATTCGGAGCGTCCTCTTCTTACCCAAACCAACATGTTGCAAGAAACCAGGGAGCAGCGTCACACCCAGAGCAACGCCTTGCAAAATGGGATTTATTTATAGCACGCTGGAATGAGACATTTCAGGCCTGACTACATCTGTAAATGTATATTGTTTTCTTTTTTTTCCTAAACAACAAGTACAGCTGTACTTTTAAAAAAAACACACCATGTAAACAAACTGTCTTGCCAAAGGCAAGGTGGTTCTTTTAAAAGTTGGCCTTTTTCATAGATCCATAGAATTGCAGGGACTCCCAAGGGTCATCCAGCCCAACCCCTGCACTGCAATCACAGGAAGCACTTCCTCAAGGGTATGAAATGAAATTTAGAAATGAACTATTTGGGGCCCTCTGTCTCCTGTTTTGTTGCTGCCTTTCTTTTCCGTGAACCCCCTTTAAACCCCCCCCAAAAAACACAACCCACCCACCCACCCACACACTATTAAATTAATGAGAATAATTTGGCAAGCTATAGGCATCAGGCAAGTCAAACAGGTTTGCATACGGCCTGCATAATTCCCTCTGCCTTTTGTTACTCATGGCAAGCAGAAACCTTTTGCTTACTCAGCCGCCCTCCTGGCTTCTGATCTGTCACGGCACGTTTCCATCTGCACGCTTCCAAGTCTCTGTGGCATGAGGGCTAGCAGCTTAGGTTGTAGTGGCTGTTTTGAACTGGAAGCCAGCAACGCTCCCGAAGCTGCATTGCGGCTCTGGTTCTGTGACTGCTGGAGGAGAAAGTCAAAAGTAGAGTGGTGATTAGATAGATAGATAGATAGATAGATAGATAGATAGATAGATAGACAGACACATTATTTGACTTACAACTCCCATTACAGTTGGCAGTTGGGAGCGGGTGTGTGTGTGCTAATCTGTGCTGCACAGGACAACCCCCCCACCCCCGCTATAAGACACATTAAATGATTCCTTGACTTTTGCAAGTTCCTTTTCTGTTGCTTTGAAGGGTCAAAAATCCCAAATGCAGAATGTGAAAAGGTTGCCCCGAATAATCTTAAATAGGCTGGAGACCTGGGCACAAGCTAACAAAATGAATTTTCATAGGGACAAATGTAAGGTTCCTGCACTTAGGCAGGAATAACCAGATGCACAAATATAGGATGTGGAACACCTGGCTCACTAGCAGGACATGTGAAAAGGATCTCGGGGTCTTGGTGGACCACAATTGCTCACAAAGGACACAAATGAACCAACAACCTCCCAGCTAATTGATCCCTCTCTCATGCACAAATCCTGGATCCTGGATGTGTGCTGGGTGGAGAGACGGAGCCGCAGTGCCAATTTCCTCTGGGGACATTTGCATGGGAGCTGCCTGATGTTTTTGCTGCTGCCCATCTGACTAAGCATCTCAGGAAGAGACTTTCCCTTCACAAGCAGAAATAGGTTGTTATTATTATTATGAATTAACGCTGTGGGGTGTGAGAGAGAGCATACTTTGCAAAAATATATTCACATGGCAGCAAGGCTCCATCCAGCATAACATCCTGTTTCCAGGGCTGGCTAACCAGTTGCCCAACCTGGGAAACCACAGCTCAGAGGTAGACTGCTCTTTGAAGTGAAGGCTCCATTTTTAGTGGTCATGGCTAAAAGCCAAGAAGGCTTCTCCTCTTTTGTGAGTTTGGCGAAGATCTTCTTAAAAAGATGATAAGGAAAGCCTTGCTGGGGGGTCTAGTGCAGGCATCCCCAACCTTTGGCCCTCCAGATGTTTTGGACTACAATTCCCATCATCCCTGACCACTGGTCCTGTTAGCTAGGGATCATGGGAGTTGTAGGCCAAAACATTTGGAGGGCCACAGGTTGGGGATGCCTGGTCTAGAGGCTGGCTGGCCATCCGCCAGGGATTCTTGAAGTGCAATTTTCCTGCATTGCAGGGGGTTGGGCTGGATGACCCTTGGGGGTCCCATCCAATGCTACAAATCTATGATTCATCAGAGGCTTTTAAGCAGAGGTTGGGTGGCCACCTGTTGGGGATTCTTGAGCTGCCATTCCTGCATTGCAGAACCCCTTCTGCCCGTCTCAACACCCAGGGGGTCTCCAGGGGTCACTTTGGGTTTTAAGCCCTCATGTGAGCACCTGGAACTGGGACCACCAGGAATGGACTGGAAACTGCTGAAGTCTCAGCCTCATAATTACTACCCCCACCACCAAATGGCACAAAATTCACATGAACAGGGCAGGTGCAATTTTTGCATTTTCGTTTTTGCAGTGAAGATTCTCCTTCCCCATATCAAGCAGAGACTAGCTTTGTTCAAGAGCCTAAAAGGACTTCCTGGAAGGGCAGCGATAAGGCCTGCAGAGCACATTCCTGGTGGCTGCGGAGGACCCACATTGGTGCCCTTTTGGGGTTTATCTTGCTGCTCCCCAGACAGTCGCCAAGAGCCACCCAGACGCCTCTTCTCTGAGGCTTTTAGGGCCTGTCCATCTGGCCTCTTTTGTTGATTTGGAGTCTGCCTGGAGAAAAAGGCCTTCCTTTAGGAGCAGGATGGAGAGATAGGAGGGGTGGGGAACCAGGGAATTATCCTCAAATGCTTTGGGCTATATTTAGACACAGGGTGGGATTTTCCCTCGCTCTCTCAGAAATGGAAGCATTTTAGACCATTTGTTGCAAGCGAAAAATGCACTCTGTGCATGCACAGGTGCATCATTGCACATTATTATTTCAATTTGGTTTTCTGGGATAATATTGCAGAGGGGGTTGGGCTGGAGGGCCCCTGGGGGACCCTTCCAATTCTGTGGTTCTGTGATCCCCTGATCCTTGGGAGTTGGAGTCCATCTCTGGGCAGGTGAATGCAGGTGATAGTTTGCAACGCAGGTTCAGATGCAAAACAACTCCAGGTGACTCTGGCTTCCGCCACTCCAGACCCGCCCGTGCCCAGGCCAGGAAGGCGGTGTGGCTTCACTTGTGTTTCCTGCCCCGCCTGCTCATCCTCAGCTCACCTGGAGGCACACCTGACTCCCGGCAGCAAGCTTCCTCTCTGCATCTCTAGACAGGCTTACAGGAACGTCAGCAAAACATTCCTTTAAAATAATAATAATAATAATAATAATAATAATAATAATAATAAATCTTTCCAAAGAATTTACATTTTCTGGTTTACAATCAATTAACCTTAGGCTACCCCCCACATCCCTCCATGCTTTCCCCAATTTTCCAATTAGTGCTGCATATTATAGTCATTCTATCTATACCTTTTCCACAATGTTACTTTAATTTAAAATGTTTACAATGTTTTTGAAAAATAATTTACAAATACTTTCCAATCCTCCTTGACTCCTGCCTCATCTTGGTTTCTGATTTTATTTGCTAAACTTGCCAATTCGGCATATTCCACCAATTCCATCAGTTTCCAAGGTCCTGCCACCTGCCAGGTCAGGAGGTGTGGGGGTGAGCCTGTCACTTCCAGGGCTTCAGGGTTGCCTTGCAGCTGGATCTGGCCCCCCAAAGACCCATCTAGCCTGCTCTCACAGTGGCCAAACAGCC